CCCCCAGGTCCTTTTCTGCCAGGCAGCTTTCCAGACGTTCTTCCCCAAGCCTGTAGTATAGCATGGGGTTGTTGTGACCGAAGTGCAGGACTCGGCACTTGGCCTTGTTGAATCTCATAGAATTGGCCTCAGCCCATCGATCCAGCCTGTCCAGGTCCCTCTGTAGAGCCTTCCTACCCTCGAGCAGATCAACACTCCCACCCAACTTGGTGTCATCTGCAAACTTACTGAGGGTGCCCTCAATCCCCTCATTCAGATCATTGATAAAGATGTTAAACAGAACTGGCCCCAACACTGAACCCTGGGGAACACCATTTGTGACTGGCTGCCAACTGGATTTAATTCCATTCTCGACAACTCTCTGGGCTCAGCCATCCAGCCAGTTTTTTACCCAGCGAAGAATACACCCATCCAAGCCATGAGCAGCCAGTTTCTCCAGGAGAGTGCTGTGGAAAATGGTGTCAAAGGCTTTACTAAAGTCCAGGTAGACAACATCCATAGCCTTTCCCTCATCCACTCAAGTGGGTCACCTTGTCATAGAAGGAAATCAGGTTAGTCAAGCAGGACCTGCCTTTCATAAACCCATGATGGTCACCTCCAGCTGTGCAGGCATGCCTGGGACTGCCCTTACTGTATATTTACTGACCGTTCAAGCCCAGAGGTCCAGCTGCAGCATGGTGTGACAGGGCTGGCTGACAGCAGAGGGGCAAAAGCTCCCTTGGATTAAATAAACCTGCTACCGCTTATGAGAGCCTTGAATTTTCATGGGCTCTTTTCTGCTTGTGGGTCCTGCATGAAAGGCAAGGTCTGGGGATCTCCAGGAAGAGCTGTTGCCCCAACGCTGCAGAGAAATACAAATATTTTTCCTTTTGCCCCATTGCTGCAGAGAAAGACAAGCATTTTTCCATGTGCCGCTCGTGCAGCGCAGCAGCACGGCCACAGGTGTGGGAGCCAGTGGAGGCAGGCGGCCATCCGGGGCTGCTCCCTCCCCGCAGCTGATTTCTGATCCCATTTCTAGGTAAATACTTGGCCGATAACTGATGGAAGCTTATGCAAGTCTATGGAAAATAATATGGAAAATACCCAAGGACTGCTGTGCGTGGAACGGTTTTAATTACAGTTTAAGGAAAATGAACTAAATCCTGCACTCGGGACATTTCTGTTGGAAGTGTCAACAACTTTCAGCATTTTTTCCTTGGAAAACACCGTCTTGACCAGTCCTACAGTATTTACTTCTAGATGTAACATTGTTAATGGTTTTAAAATGTAATTATTGTATTTGTAAATTGTACTCATTCCAGTAAGGCTGTATTTTGGCAGTTAGACACTTGAGTTTTAGCATTTTACCATTCATGAAATGGATGTAATTTAAACTGTGGTATATAAATTTAATAGTAGTACTGTTGAATGGCACAATGCTTACAGAGGTAGATTACTTTTTGTCAATATATACGATTTAAATACAATACTGATAGCTGTTATGGAGGGGGTGCCTCATAAGGAGAGAGTGAAGTAGAACTGACATGCTGATTTATTTTTTCTTCAGTCCCTAGTATGTCTCACAGTGATGAATAAAAAGCTCTATCTTCAGGTTTAGCTGGTTTAACTCCAGAAAAATATTGCTGTAAATGTGGAGGTTCCTAATACAGTCTCCCAGCAAAAAGTAGGAAAAAAAAGTCACTTCTATGAAGATATTTACTTTGAATTTCCATTGCAAGCAACCTCCATGAACGTGCCCTTGTTCTCTTACAGCCGCAGATTAACCGTCAGGAGTCCCAGCAAACGTTTCTCTTTGCCCCATGCTCTTAGATTTTGCAGGGATGCAGATAAGGAAATAAGCAGGCAAAGAGGCTGGGTGCTAACTCTGAGCTTATAGCACTGAAAAGTTATTGCTGGTTTTAAGGATGCATTTTCCAAGCAGTCTCCAGATTTTTGGTTGCATTTCTACGTTCCTTTGCTTGCCTTTTCCGTTTTTCGCCTCCATTTTTGAAAGCCCCACAGGTTTAGAAAATGCTTTAAAGACACACAGTGCCCCCCTGTGCCTTTCCATTTTACCACTTAGGCAGGAAAGCATATAAATACAAACATTGGAGAAGGAAGGCAAGCCCAAGCCTGACCCTTGGTGGGACACCCCGCACTGGCTAGGGCCGGTGCTCGTGCTGGGAGAGCAGGAGCAGCATGGGGGGCTGCCAAAAGCCCAGGGGGCAGGAGCCTGCTTCGCTGGCATCAGGAGCAGCTATCTCATAGAATGGGAAAATGCATAAAGGTGCTAAACTGGAGGCTGTGGGGGGAAAATTGTCCCTCTGTGTTTTCCTTGAGCTGACGCAGGCTCAGAGCCGGGCTCCTGCACTGCACGCTGCTCCTCTCCGTGCATTGCCTGCGCAGCCTGCAGCGTTTGCTTTCTAGTTGACGTTAGTCTCGGCCTAGTGCTGGCAACATGATAATAGTGTGCGTGGCATTAATGGAGTGGCATCTCCCAAGATGGAGAGCTTGTTTTAATGGGAGGATTTGGCAATATGAGGAAAAAAGAAGGCTTCTTTTCAAAATTAAATGCAGCTGCTGTTCAGATGCACAGAGAAGCATAGGAGCATCCACTGAAAGTGGTGCTGGGGACTTTAGAAATGTGTGAGATGACAAATAGTGCTAATTTTACAGTCACAAATGTTGCCAGGATTAGGCTTGTGCATCTGCGTTGGAAAACTTAAGACACTGCATGTTGGGAAGTGCTTGCTCACAGAGCAGTTCGGCGTGACGTAAGAAAATAGAAATCCATGCCCATCTTAAAAGAAAAAAAGAAAATCTGGAGACATTTCAGTTCTGAGATGACTCCCAGACTGAGATAGGTATGATAGGGTACTTGATTTGTGTGCATGCTCACAAAAGGTATCAACACAGAAGATAAAGCACAATTCAGTTATGCAACTTCATACATCTTTGCCGGTTTTGAAAGTAGACTTGCCAGTACTCCTGGATGGAGTGCTCAACTCCGTTAATTCTTCCCCTGAAATGGAAATATGTATAAACTGTGTAACCTCCCCCTTTCTGACATAAGAATATAGGGCAAAATCTAAGAATCAGTTTTTGCATAATTGGTTCATGATGTGTACAATTGTTATAAACTCATGCTTCCAAAAGAGATCTATGTCATAGTCCTGAAAATAAGGATTTTATAATGTAAATATTACCAGAACATAGATATTTTACTTTATATTTCATTTGAAAGACAAGTTGTTTACATTAGCATTGGGTTTTTAAATGCTTTTTAAACAAAAAAACCCATAACCCAAAGCTCCCAAGCTTGTCCCATTTGTGCTGTCCCACAAAATGGAAGTCACATTTTCCGGGTGCGTGTCGGTGCGGGGATGCAGCCCTCGTGGCCTGGGTAGAGAGATGAGAAAATCCTGCACCCTTTCTGGGGCCAATTGCCTGAATTCAATGTGCCGGCATGTTGGCAGCCCTGTGGGGGGCACAGCCCCCCGGGGGGGGGCCCCCCCCCCCCCCCCAGCCACTGGCAGGTGACAAAAAAACAGCTATTCCCAGCCCACAGCACTGGGACCCAAACCAGCTGTTTGGGACAGGTTTTCTGCATACTGCTTTTGCCAATTTTTTGCGTAGTGTTTTAATTCGCTAGGCATTTGCTCAGGAGCGTTGAACTGCGTGTCTTTACTTTACCCCCCCAGCACGACCACCCTTCTGGACTCCTTTGCAAGGAGGTGCCGGTTCCATATGGATGGTTTAGCTTTCCTGCCCTGCTGGTGTCTGAGCAGAGAGGCAGAGCAGCAGGGTGCCCCGGGGATGCTTATTTTGTCAGGTATTTGTCTTCCCACGTGCCACATGAGCGTGGCACCCCAGCATTACCCCACGTGGGGAGGGTGAACAGACCAGTTGCATTTCTAAGTCTGAAGTACAGGAGCCTGGTCTTCTTTCCAGAGGCTTTGAGAAGGTGTCAGCAGAAAAAAAGATTATGAGCAGCAGCTTGGGGCGTATCAGACTTATACTTAGAGCACCAAATAGGGGCATATATAGGGATGCTTATCCCCAATTTTGGCTTCTGTAGTAGCGGTGAGAGCCCCTGGCTCTGGAGAGGGCATGGGGAAAGCAGTTCCCTCTTGCATTCAGGGCACTCAAGCTCTACAGGCTTCACCTCCGCTTTTAGGCAGGAAAAAACATGGATCTTCAGGGAATGCATCTGTTCAGTACTCCCTGCCCTCTAGCAAAGAGCAGCTACATCAGCAGGGAGTTGAAAAGGTGGCGATTCAGTTGCCTGTAAGCCACCTGCATGTCTAGAGCTAAGCATCTTTGCTCTGTTTCTGAGCATCTGGTCCAGCAGGTCTTGTGCCAAGTCGGGCTGAGCCCGAAAAGGGGGCTCAGCCCCCCAGCACTGGCACCCCTTAACTCAGCAGCACTCAGATCTAATTATCTGAGTAAAAAAAAGGGTAAATAAAGGAGGCATTCAAATAATAAATAGGTGTGATGCATTCACAGAAAGGCTTTAACTTGGTTACTTCCATGGGCCTTTCCCTTTAGACCATGTCCTCGGCCACCTCTCCCCCGAGGGGTTTTCCTTGGGTCCCTGGTAGCCGCCTGTGGCCCAGGCCTGCAAGGTCAAGGTGCCCACTGACGGAGCGGGAATGTTTTTCCCCACAGACACCTGCAGTCTTGGGTCTTCAGATGTTAGGAGCAGGAAGTCTTTTTTTTTTGCAACTTTTCTTCTTCTGTTTGTTGCAAATACTCATGATTCTCAGTCAGCTTATGGTGCTCCTCACAGGAGACATTTCAGACCAATTTTCTACTTTAACCGTATTTCTTAATAACTATGAAATTGCTCAATGGTATGAAATACTACCAGATAATAAGCTTTTCATTTGGTGTTTGCACTTGTTGTTAAGTATCACTCCCCTGTTATAAAGCTGCTTCTTATTTTTGCTGTAAGGCCACTGTCCATTAAACTCCTGTTCCTGCCCAGCTGGTGTGAGTTCTCAGTGGATACGCGTGTGGCTTCACTCACAAAAGCTTTGTCACACGAATGCGATCCTTTACCGACGAAGTCACACAACTGCGCACTCCTCCTGTTGCAGGCTGGACTTAAAGACATTAGTGCTCTTATTCGGTATTTCAGTTAAATTAATTTTGTCTTCGCTATGCCCTTTCAGGATGTATCTGTTAGAGGAGTTTTAAAACGTAGGTGGGGAAAAAAAAAGTTTCTGTTAAAATGACATCCTGTTTTTGGCCAGGCAGGGAGGGGCTGGGGAGGGGAGGCAGTTTCCCAGGCAGGGTGCAGGCACCGTCACACCCTCGCTGCAGGATGCTGTCGGGATATCTCTCACGGCAGTGCCCAGGGTTTGGGCTGCATGGGGAACACCATAGTAATATGCTGCTGAAACTTACCGTTTTGAAGCCACGCACACCTGTGGGTGAGACCCATCTGCCTTCTCCTTTTAATGTGATCACAGAGCCTCAGGGTAGTTGTTTAGTGCCCAGTCGTAAAAACTGGTCAGCTCTTGCACGAGTGATTATTTTCCCACAGAAGTCCCTGCCAAGACCTTACCATACTGCCCACACCGCCACCAGTTGTACTTGTATTCATTTACCTAATTCTAGATGATTCAAACCAGCCGGCGATGGCACTCTGTCAAATCGCAGCTGCAGAGATTCCTGCAGCACGAGCATCACGTGAAGAGTCACCACTGCACTTTCTTGCAGCAGAAGCGTTTTTAAACAGCTAGACTGCAAGGTGACATATTTTGAAATTACCTTAGAGACAGTCAAACATCTTTTACTAAAATTGTTCAGCCCTCCTCAGACTTCTCCCTTGGTTTACCGTCTCCTTCTGCAGCAGTGCAGTTCCTGTGCCCAGTGGGCATGTTGTGCAGTTCTGCATCGCAGAGGAATCCTGCTCCATTTTACCTTTTTTTTTCTTTTTTTTAAAATATGGTCCATGGGTCTGTTACCCAAGCACCCAACATTTACTTGAGAAAGCCACTTCAATACACCGAATATGGAATGATTTTTTCCCTACCCCTTTGTTGGTTTTATGTGAAAATGTCTTGGTTAAAAAACTTAATTTCGAAACTTAACATGACTAAAATATGTAACATCATCACATTGTACCTTCCCAGTAAGAAATTACAGTCTCAAAGATTTCATTTCATAGCCAGAATTCTTCTTTTAGTCTTTTTCTCACGATTTCCCAAGGAAAGTAATCCTTGCAGAGCTGGGGAGTTTTTATTATCATCAGTATTTTAATTCTTATTTCACCACAAGGCTAGAAAAAGATCTGCAGAAATACCCCACACCTCCTGCGTGACATCCCCTATCAGTTTAGGAGGGACTGCAGATAACGCTGCTGACAATTGTTCCTGAAATCGCAAGCGTTAGCATGGCAATGCTCTTCAAAGGTTCTCACACAAGCAGGACTTCACTACAGGCCAAGCAGTATGTGATAAAACATGCCAAGTTTTAGCGAGGCATTCAGAATATCTTATTCCTCTGTTATAAATCTCTCTCTTTCTAGACACAGGGCAAATCACTGCAGACATGCCGTCCTGCTGTTGGGTTCGTAATCCATGCAGGAGGGGTTTTCCACTCCAAAATGCTCTAAGGTTGATGAAATCACACGGTTGCTTTGACGGCATAAGACATGTGAAGACGTTAGTTGTGGTCTGAGAGAGGAATTGAGTCGGGTTGTGGTTTGAAGCTCCGGTCCTGCAGCCACAGGCTGGTGGGTGGAGGGCACAGGGTGCAGGAGAACCTCGCCATGACACCTCTGAACCCAGAAGAAGACCCACAAGTGAATTGGATTTCCCAGGGTATTGCCCTGTATAATTTTATGAACTCCCTTGTGTATAAAATGTTTATAAATATTTGTGGATTAAGATACACAGGTCTATTTTTAAGATTTAAGTTAAATAAGTTAATTAATGGCTGGCCTTTTTTGCCTAAACGTGCAATGAGATATATTATACCTTTACTCTATGATGGCCTAGGTACTGCTTAGTCTGTGATGAAAACTTTGCTGCTTACCTACTGTTCTCAGAGAAAAAAACTGTAAAAGACGTACAGGTTTGTTGCACACGGACTGTCGCAGCAAAGCTTTGTATTTGACCACTGGTAATATGAATGTGTTGTATTGACTTGTTGAAGATAATCATGAAACAACATATTTTAAATGTTACTTGCCTTATAGATTAGAATACGACTATGTGGATATCATTTTTGTAAATAATGTTTTTTATAAATGTCTCTCCTCCATTCTCCTCATCACCCATTTCACAAAATCTTGAATATGCAATTATTTACCATGCATAATGTTGCAACAAATAAATCCCCACATCAGAACAAAGTTTATTAATTCTATACATTAGAACCCCATTCAATACCTGATTGAGTTGCAATTTAAATGTGATTTTTTTTTCCTGTAAAATAAACAAAAATTGCAAAACACCACTTTTTCTGAGTGAGCTTTGCTTGCATGTGCCGGAGCACCCAGAGGAGCTGGGCAGAGGTATCTGCGGCTGTCATGTCCCTGGCCCAAAATGTCATTGCTGCTGGAGCTATGTGGAGCTTCCCAGCCTGGGGACAGGTCGGGGTTTGCATGTGGGGACATGTGGAGATCCACAGGGACCGTGGGGATGGGTGGAGCTTGAGGGGATGCATGAGGGCTGTGGGGACATGAGGGACCGTGGCTATGGGGCTTGTGGATGTTGAGGGGACCCATGGAGGCCATGGGGACATGTGGGGACCTGTGGAGGCTGTGGGAGCCATGGGGACCCAGTGGGGCTGTAGGGGCACACAGGGACCTGTGGAGGCTGTGGGTACCTGTGAAAGGCGTGGGGACATGAGGAGGCAGTAGGGACATGCAGGGACCCATGGAGCCTGTGAGGACGCGTGGGGGCCATAGGAACACACAGGACCACAGAGGCCATGCGGGTTTTGGGAGGCTCCAGGACACACAGGGATCCATGGAGCCTGTGAGGACGTGTGGGGGGCCGTAGGGACACAGGAGATCCGCGGGGACCCATGGAGGTCGTGAGGCCA